TAGATTGCACGCATTTGTATGTTGACAAGCCAAAAGGAGTGCGATCGGAGTGCTACTACCACCACACTGGGGGGTTCTCGGTTGTGGCGCAAGTCATTTGCGACCACGAGTGTCAGATTTGCAGTGTTTATGTTGGTTGTCTGGGGTCTGTGCATGATTCGAGAGCTTTGCGCATGTCACCATTGTTCATAAATGCCACAGAGGGTAGAGGAGTGTTGGCTGAGGGAGGTGTCGTGTTACACGGCGACAGACATGTTGGCCGTTATCTGCTGGGTGATCAAGGGTACCCTCTTCTTCTATGGCTCATGACTCCTTTTGGACGTTTTGCTCGAACGCCGGCGGATCCAGCATTCGATTTGAGCCACAGTGCAGCGAGGTCGTGCATTGAACGGGCTTTCGGACGTTTGAAGGCGGTTTGGAGGAACTTCATCCGAAGACATATTTGCAATCTCAAGACAGTCTACAAAGAATTCATGGCCATCTGCATTCTTCACAACCTGATGATCGAGCACAACGTGCAGATCGACCCGGCGCTGATGGAAGATAGCAGTGACAGCGATGCAGACAACGACGAACGTCGGAACCGTCGACGACGCCGGCGGCGCCGTCGATTCAACCGCCACCTCCCGGACTTGAACATCGAGGCGCCGGCAGAGGATGACCCCACTTATTGGGGGGAACTCGCGGAACACATCAGGGCCAGCCTGGTGGAGCACGTGCGCCACCACGTGGCAGTCCACGAGGCTCCACCACCATGCCCATGGCGGTAGTGCTCTTCTTTCGTTTTTAATGTGGTTATGTGTCTCGACTCATTTTAGGACGTCCGAGGCCTTGGGTAAGACTTTGAGGCAGATGAAGGTTGGTCGAAGGACGAGGATACGGGCATAGAAGTTTACTGATGTATTGTCGGTTGTCAATACATCCTGTTGGATTTATCAGAGGGTCATGTTTCGTCATATCGAGCGGATAGACGGGTTCGTACGATGCGTTTTTTTACCTTTCCGTAACATTTATTCTTTCGTGCACTTCGACAAAGTTGAAATGAAGTTTTGTTTTCGTCGTTGTCGGAGATTGCACAGTCGTATGTTTTTGTATGTCGTCTCTCTCCTGTTTCTCGCCCTATGGAGCACCTTGTGGCAAACATTTTTACAACCCCAATTCCCTACTGGAACATGTTCATGTCGAACGACCTAACAATTCATTGCACGTGATACAAGCAATGAAGGTTGCAAAGTGCGAGATGGAGGGACGAAACACATGCATTTCGAGGGGCGTACGTCTTTTAAATAATTGACACGCATAATGCTGAACAACAAACTCACTTTCAACAATACATTTACGAAGTCGCATATAACATCCCCCGGACCCTGTGTGAGTGACATATTCATTTCGTTTGCATGAACAGTTCGGTTGACGAATTCCGGTGCGGTGAAGTACATCGGAACACACTGCACATCCATACACGCCCCAAGTACCATTCCATCGTCGAGAACATCACATCCGAGCAACAAAGACAAAAAAAAAAAAAAAAAAAAAAAAAAGGAATTGACATGACCAAACTGTGAAAAAAAATAAAAAAATAAAAAAATCTCACACCGAGCAAAGTGCATAAATCCCAAACGAGCAAAAAATGACTCCATACGAATGCTTGACTCTCTTCCAACACGGATGGAGAACAAGGTTCGACGATGTAACAAAAAAGGCATCCGGTATCCTGTAGCAAAGCTTTAAAAAAAGTTCGGATGAGCAACCGTCACTTCCTACCGTGGAAGGATTGATTCATCGTCATCGTGAATGTCATCATCGTCATCATCATCGTCATCATCATCATCATCATCATCATCATCATTGTCATTGTCATAATCACCGTGACGATGACAATCCCCATCATCATACTCGTCGTCGATGGCATGTGCCCGCATACGAGCATCCTAAACACGACCACCGTCCTGAAAATCATCATCATCTCGATGTCGATGATGATGGAACGAATATCTCTCACGCTTTCCTCTCTCTCTCTCTCTCTCTCTCTCTCTCTCTCTCTCTCTCTCCGACTAACGGAAGTACGAAGAAAGCCATGCAAACCACGAACACTACCATTACCGGCGTTGATGACGAACACGTGTACCGTCACTCAAGACCTCACCTCCCCGTGCAGATATGGCCTGCCAACCAACGGCAGATCAAGAATGCACCTCCAAAACGGGATCGGATCTAGGCGGTCTGTGTACATGTCAGCAAGGGTGGAGACGTAAAGAAGCACGATCTCCCCGAGCACATCAACAGGATGGCCGCCCCATTGATTGGGGATCATATCCCCGACCTTCGACACATAGATCAGCATGTGGCCGAGATTATTCCCGAAGAACCCCAAGCCCACGTCCATCTTCATAGCGGGTGCCCCATCCACATCAACTTCGTAGAAGCGGATGGACTTACGTGTCACGCCATCCGCGAAATCGAACTCCCTGGTGTGGTACCCGTCCCGCTGGTGGCGCATCTCGTACACCATGACGCCCTTGCCAAAGACGATACCGCGACAAAAAACACACACGTCCATCTCTCTCTCTCTCTCTCTCTCTCTCTCTCTCTCTCTCTCTCTCTCTCTCTCTCTCTCTCTCTCTCTCTCTCTCGGGAGAGTCCTCCCCCTCTCCCTCTCGGCGAATGGAGCCGCCCGATTCGCCGGTCAGCACGTGGCGAAGCGCACACCCGAGCACACCCAGCTTCAAAAAACGATAGCAGGCCGATGAGGACAAACAACGCATAGGCACGGTACTCTAGCTTGCGCAAAGACTGCGATCACACCCGATGCGGACACCTTTTTTATACGATTCGAGGTGCGAACAGCCGGGCCGTTCCACCGACTCCGTCGACGTTGTCACGTCAACACCGGAATTATTCGAACTTTTTTTTTTTTTTCTTCGTTTTCTGCATGATCTGATTTGATGTATTTTCCCTTACGTCATGGGCGGGGTCATGAATCTTTCCTTGGGAGGTAAACGAAGGGCCGTCGACGTGTCCCCGCCGATGGTGTTCGACCAAGAGGAGACACATGCATATACATGTATATGTACATACATGTATATGCATATGTCGCCTCTCTGTCGACCACCACCGACGGGGACATGTCGACGACCGTTATTTTACCTCCCCAGGAAAATATATATATATATATATAATTCTGTATATTTATATACAAAATTATCAGAGCGCAAACGCGAAGAAACCAAACAACAAAAAAAAAGTGATCACCTCGACGAAGGGTCCGTAAACCGATGAGTCGGACCTTCGCCGCCGGCACCTACGTTCGCCCCCCTCCGAGCAAGGACACCCACTAGCAACTCTAGAACACTATTGCCACCCCGCATTGCTTCGGCCACGTCCCCTATCCGAGCAGCGATCGCACACCCCGCGTCTGCGGTAGCTTTGGCAAGGGTGGTGGCCGCTTTGTCCAGGCCATCGCAGTAAGATCGAGTGGAATCCTCCATGGCCCTGCCCAAACTCGACACGCTGCTGCCAGGATCTTCCTTTCTCGCCTTCCCGCTGGTTGTCCGCCTCGATTTAGCAGAATTGTCCGACTCCTCCGCGCATCTTCCGTCCGTTCCTCCCGCCGGTGTTGCATCTGTTCCAACGCCCGGAAGGTTCTCTGAGGCCATTGTGTTGTCACACCTTATCGACGACCGATTCAACTGCCACTGCATAGCGTCCCACACAGCCTTCTCAAACGAAAGCGGGAGACTCTTCTCCTTTCGTTCCTCCGTAGACATATCCCAATACGACGGCTGTCCAGACGCTTCACACTTCTCGACGATGAGCTTGGCCGTCGCTGTGCTTGAAGCCTGCATCCGCCATCCTTTCATTCATCCACACATACCGGTATTTCCTCTGCTTGAATCGGTGCTGGCCGTTAGCATCCGCCATAAGGGCATCATCCTCACCCATCAAAATCGCAAGCTTCACCCGCTCATCCAACGTCCATGGGACATTTTGCTTCTTCTGAGCTGCCGGGCGGCCATTCGCAAGTCGTCCGCCGACCGCTCCACCACCCGCGCCCTGGCCGTTAACATCACCCCGCCCGACCGTCGAACTTGCGACCGTGGGAACGGCGGTTCCTTGCTCTGCCTGACCATCTTCGTTGCCCGCTTCCGAGCCGCCCGTGCCTTCATCGAACACTGACTCCACGCGAGTCCCGGGGGACACAGGCCTTGCGTTCGGCCGATTGCAAGGGGCATCCGTGTCAACGCCCTCCGGTGGAGATGGAGAACACCACGCGCCGAACAACCTGCAAGTGCCCTGGGAGCATTGGGGAGACCAATGCCTGCCACCCACGACCATGCTTTGTGTGGGCGGTGAAGGCATGCCGAAGCCGGCAGCCACACTTGCGCTTTCTACGCATGCCCGCGATCCATACAAATCGTACTGCTGCTGGACGGACACAGGATGATCACGAACGGCGAAAACGCCGTCCGCCCGCATGTCCCGCGGATGTGGACCACCGCGTGGAACACCCACGTGCATGCTCTCCGGGGACTGCCCAACACACCCTCCACCGAAGGGCGTCGGCGGAGAAGAACTGCATGCAGGGTAGTACGGATGTTGCATGGCCAATGAGGACTTGCATGTTATCACCGCCGTTGAAACCACCGACGACATCATCCATCCAACCCCTGCAATCCATCGCGCACTTGCTAGCTACAACAACGGACAAACGGTAACGAAAGGAGGTGTCGGCGCGAATACCCTTACAAGGGTATTCGCCCTGGTTTTTGCAGGTGACAGGAAAGATAGTTTCGGGTCAAAATAAGCCGCGCAAGGCACGGCCACGTTTGTGGGCGCGCAGTTTTAAGGCGCGCGTGTGATTCTTCCGATTGATTGGGCAGCCGGTTTAGTCGACCGACCCGGATTGCTACGGATTAGAGTAGGGAGTAAAAGATCCGTTTTCATCTGGTATGATTGGCTAATGGTAGGCCTGACAGACGAAGTAGGGCACAAGGCAACCACGACTCTATTTGAACGAGCCAGCGCGGGTGCTTAGCATCCGCGTGTCTAGTTATAAATGGGAGTGAGGCCCAGCCCAGGGCGCCGCGCCGTACCACCTTATATTAAGGCTTGCGCAGGCCAGTTCCAGGCTTGGGCTTAGCCCTATAGGTTACGGCAGCGGACTTGCACGGCAGAGGAACGAGGTTCGAGGCCAGCGGGCAACAGCGTGGGAGCAACGAAGCAGCGAAGAACCGAGGGGTTGAGGGTCCCGCGGGACTATCCCCCCTCAGTTTTGTTAGGGGAGTCTGGCCGTGGGCCCGCTTCGCAAGATTAAGGGAGCGCCGGTATGTCCCGCACCCTGTACCGTTTAGCCTTCCGTTTTTATTTTTCGAGTTGCTTTAATGTCGTTGCTATTTTAAGTTCTTCTTTCTTGTCTTTTGGGATCCACCTTCCGGGGCCGATTGACTGGGCCGATGGCCTGCTGTAGCAAGTGCACCCGTGAACTAACAAAATACAGGCCCGGGTTTGGGCCTAGACGGTAGAGTCTGGTGGCTAGAACCAAATACCCTGAATTTGCGGGGGGCCGGTCGGCCCGTTGGCGGTACCCCAGGGCTGCTATGCAGCCCAATCCTTCGGGCCACCCGCTAAGGTTGGAACGGTACGAGGAGATCCGCATGGCCACGGCACAGGGATCTCGTGTGAAAATCCGGGGTGAACTCGGACGCTAACCAAGCCGGGGCGTGCGAAAGGCAGAAAGGCCGAGTGACCTTTGGAGGCGTCGTGCTGGGTCCTTTGGGACATCCGTTGAAAATTGGAACGGCGCAGGGGAGTTTAGTGCGACACCTGCGCAAGGCCGATGTGTATAAAACGGGACAGACTCCTGTTTCTCGGTTGTTGCCTCAGTCCTCAATCGGTCTAGTCTTCGCGCGGTCCAAATCGGTGTATGCCACCCGGATGTACTGCACTGAGTTTCGGTAGACGTCAGCGAGCGCGGGCCGATGAGGAAGGAGACGAGGATGACAAGGAAGAGTGGGTATGGCGGGAAGGGGAGTTAGTTACTCGGCCGTTCCTTAGCAGTTTTCGGCAGGCCAAGTCGAGGGGTGGGGGGTATGGCGCAGGGCGAAGCGATTGGTACGATCAGATCGGCGAAAGAGGGTGTGTTTGAGAAGGCTGGTAGGAAAAGGGGTGCGCGAGGCTATGGCGGGGAGGAAAATGACGTGAATGGGTAGTGGCTTGCGCACGTGACTTGGCGGAATCGGATGGAGGAGGAATCAAAGTGGGCATTCTCGACCGCTGCGAGTCGATTGACGGGCTTAGTTTTAGGAGAGAGTTGGTAAGATGAGAATTAGCAAGAAGAGAAGCTGCACGGTGGAAGCGGGGTAGCACGGAATATGGCAGCGAATTTATCCGCCTGTCTGCAAAAGATTCATTCCGTTTTCATTCAGTTTTTGAGCGAGGTTGTGTGGAATTGGGCGCGAGGGAGCGGCCGTGGGGTTAGAATGTGAGAATGCGTGGGGGCAGGGGTGAAGCCAAGGGCAAGAAAAGGAGGGAAAAGGGGACACGTACCTGGTTGACTTTTGGTTGTAGACTCATTCTGATTTGCTCCTTGTGTCGGCGGACATGGCTGCGCTAGCATCTCTATGCGCAAGTCTGGGCTCGCCTATCGATCGGAGTTGAGGGGTTAGGGACCTACCTGTGAGCGGTGTGTGTAGCGGAAGAATCACTCAGTCCCGCTCCTCGTGCCTGAGGAAGTAGCCCCGCCGGTCGCCCTGCAACTGTGACGGGAGAGGGGCATGCATCGGACTGAACTCCAGGGGTGAATCCATCTTCGGGTCCATATGCATTGGTAAGGAGCCGAGGTTGGAGTCGGGGGCTATTGCTGCTCTCCGCGATTGTATGCGCAAGGTGTTGTGCGGGTTGCGCCAAGATCCACTCGATTTCACCTACCTGAGGAAGTATACGAAGCCGGCCACACAAGAAGGCAGTCACCCGTTGGTGGAAGTATCCCACTAGGGGAGATATCTTCGGAGGAGAGGAGAGAGCGTACGTGTTGTGTGCGGGCGATCGACTTTGGTGACGATGTCACGTACGTTGGTCTGTGACTCCGCGACGCACGAGCGCGGGTAGACTGGTTAGGCTGAACAGTGCGGACTGAGTGGCGCATTCGCTAGTTAGGGGACCTACCTGTTGCCGGGTGCGACATATGCACCGATGGGGGAGCGGTTTTCCGCTGACTGTCTGCGAGCATGGCCGTGAGCCAGCAGTGTGCATGGCCGTTTTCTAACGGAAGGTTCCGTTTTGATATCGGAGGAGGTAACGCAGGGCCGTGAAGTTGGGGACCTACCTTTGGGCCGTTGTGCTGCCCACCTCGTCCAGCAGAGCCCGTTGGCCGCGTGTATGTGCGTACCTGACAGGATCGCTGAGGGGAGATAGCAGGGCTGCGACAGGCTGTGAGGCAGGGTAGAGTGAGGCCAGTTGTGGGCTTGTGATCTTATTGACGAGTTGTTGTACACCGCCGTAAGCTATTGCTGACTGCCGCTGACCATTCTCGGCTGACAGTGGCTGGTTTGAAGAAAGGTGCTTGGTCGTTTTTAGTTGGTGGGATTGCTGCAGTAGTGCTAACTGCTGCTGCTGTTGAGGACATTGTACAAAGTTGCTGCTGTTGAAAGAGTATCGTGAGTGTTGTTGTGCACCACAGCGATCTGCAGCTGCATATGGAGACTGTGTACACTGCCTTGCATGGATTTGCTGTGTTCCTCATAAAGAAGGGCAGTGCTGCGGTGTGAGCGGAGTAGTTGGGTTGTAAGAAAGGCTGTTGTTGCAGCGTGGTGGAGCAGTGGCGAAGGGGGTCATTGCTGCGGATCGGGAGATCGTCAGAGGCCTGACCTCGACAGTTGACTTAGAGTGGACCAGGCTGTCGCTGCTTTTGTCCACCATTGTGAGGCCCTCAGGCGAAGGAAGATATCAAGGCCCTCTCCTGCGAGTCTGAGAGCACCCTTCTTGTATCTGAGGAACTAAAAGCTTTCTCTTTCTATCCTTCTTACTCTAAGTCTAGTCCCCTGGTTCTGAGAGGAAGGCGGCAGGCGGGATTGCGACCCGTAGGACCGCAGCAAGACTCTGTGGGGAGTCGTCCCACCGATTGCGGGAGCTCTGCCGGAACTCAGGAGGACTTCTGGAGGCAGGGAACTGACAGGTAACCTTTTGCCTTTCCTCTATAAACCCAGTTATAACCCCTATCTGTACTTCCCATTGCATCTCTGACTGGGTATAGGGTGTGCAGCCTTACTTTGACTTTTGTTTGACTTTCTGGACGATGAATCAGATTAAGTAAAGGAATGTTTGTCCAATCTCAGTTTCAACTTTATTTGTTGTATGAAATCAGATTGTTGAAAGGAATCGCATCTGGGGAAGGCAGGATGGAGGGCTGTTTGATTGAGGGCTTGACTGGGTCATTAAGGCTGGGAGGTCCCCATAAGTTTGGGGAGACCCAGTGCTATGTTTATTTTGGCTTGAGTGGAACGTCAGACCCTTCTATAAGTTTAGGGGGTCTGATTGCTCTGGAGGCTGGGAAGTCCCCAGAAGTTTGGGGAGACCCAGTGTTGTGGCTTTGCGTGGAGGGTCAGACTGTTCTATAAGCTTAGGTGGCCTGACTGCTCTGACTTGGGTAGGCTGACTGTGAATGATTTTTCAGGGACCAAGCGTGTTCTGTAAGTTCAGGTGCTTTGGTTGCTTTGTTTACTTTGGGTTTCCTCTGTTTATTTGGTTCTGAACGAGGCGGCCTAAGCCATTCTATAAGTTTAGGTGACTCAGCCTCTTCCTGTTTTATTTTGAGGAAATGAACTTGACAAAGGGGCAGACCGTTCTGTAAGTTCAGATGGTCTGGCCCAATGCCACGCACAGTTTGGATCAGAGAGAAACGAATCAGGCAGAGAGTCAGACTGTTCTGTAAGTTCAGGTGGTATGGCTCAAAGCCTGCATGTGCTGGAACCCAAAGGTTATAATTTGGGTATACCTTATTACTATTTTACTATGAACGAGCTAATCAAACTGTTCTATAAGTTTAGGTGGTCTGACTATAGCCTATCACGACCTGAAGAGAGTATAATTAAGAGTATAACTGAAGGTAATTTTGGGCCGACTGAGCATTGTTTCTAAGATGAATGGCTCAGTCCTACGCCCACTTTGAAAATTAAGTTCAGACATATATATATATATATATAATCTGGCTCTTTAAACAGTTCAGGGCGACTAGAATGCCTGGTCATATGCCCAAAGAAGAAAAAAGTTGTTGTGCCCTGTGTT